GAAATGTTTAGACTGAATATTTATTCTAACATAAAGAAAATGGTATGGATTTGATTTCACTTGACGGTTGTATTTACATTTATTGGTCCAATTTGTAGCTATTTTTCACTTCTGCGGAACTTAACTATGCCTTAGAAAATTTGATTTTTCTAAGCAAATATAGTACTTCTTACATTTCTTCGAAGTAGAGAATTCGTCTAAGGTTTATCATTATTACTTCAAAGTGCTTGTACATACGTTAGTGCCGGTTTGAGAGTGATTATCAATATTTCGCAAGTTTCCGTAAGTTTTGTATGACTTCCCGGCCACACTGTAATAAACTGGTCTGAAGTTTATGGGTGCTGTAAGGGGTTATCAGTAGCAGTTTTCACTGAAATTACCTTGGCAAAATGTAATAAAAGATTGTGGTTGATCCCAAGAACGGCAAAAACTTCATCAGAGTCGGTAGGGGCGGGTGTCAGAATTGCTTAACCTAGCAGCAAAGAAAACTAAGGCGAATTCGTGCAACAGATGGTGCGGATACGTTTCGGTAATTTATTCTACTGGAGGTATAAAAATGATCAACTTTAGCGTACAAGGACAAACCAAACCTCCGAAGAAGGATCTATTGTACGAGGAAGGTATAACCGACACGCTCTGGTGACTTCTTTGTGTAGAAAGTAGGAAATGTTATGGGGGGTACACGGGGCGACTAGTCAGGAGTCACTGTGCAGGTAGTCTTAGGTGGCCCTGCTTGCCATCTGCAGATGGTGGATGCTCGTGTTTCGGCCTCTAACTGGCACAAAACTCTCACCTGTGGCTCCTCGAAGCTTGTTTCGGCTTAGTGGTCACACCCCGGTAACAGCCCAGACCGGCGGCTAAACGAGATGACGGTATCCGGTGCTGTGTGTCCCCAGGCCCGGTGGTGGACGAGGCGTGATTCTCACGGTACGCCGCGCTATGCGCAGGCAAACTGGTAATGGAAAATGGAGGCTGGTGTGCACTCTAATGTGAGATAGGCTGGGGGCGATAAATAGGGGGGACACCTCGGCAAGACCGGTTGTGCCCAGAAGTTTAGGCACAAGCTTTAGCGCTGACTTAAGCCAGCGTGAGATAGGCTGGAGGCGGTAGATATAGGGGAAGTCGATGTCCGGAGGATTAGGCATAAGCCCTAGCGCTGACTTAAAAGGATGTAGAAACTGCATGTGACAACGTGGGCCACCTTAACTGTCAAACGTCACCTAAGGCATGCATGTAAGTATGTAAGTAAACATGCGATTTCAGTAGCTAAGTCTACAAGTCTGCTCCTCAGCTCCTTCTGCATTTAGCTCCTACGCTACAGGTGTGATGCAAGCCTGCAACTGTCACAGTTTACCCTGAATGAGAAGGCAGCCAGCTGACGCTTTACCAGACCATGCCATCAGGCCAGTATGTGTTCTATGTTTAGTGGCTCTTGAGTGGACTAGGAATCAGAAGACGACTGCTCCTCCTGGTTATGCCAATCCTGATGTGTCAATAAGCCAGTTCGTGCTGGAGAGGGCGACACGCAAACACGTAGACAGCCTAGGCTAACTTGAGTCGCTCTTCTATTAAACCCAACCGTGGCAAATGGTGGAGGTTGGCAGCCAGCTGGGATGTCTAGGCAGTCCTATTTAAAGACAGCCCTACTTACCTCCTTGTAGAGGAAGGAGCTAGAAGGG